ATCAAAACGGATGGATAGTTTCTCCTTCGTAGTTTTTGATTACTTTCAATTGTTTCAATATGAGTTGGAAGTTCATACTTCCAAACGTTGACAAGTGAACTATAAAAGTCATGTTCCATTTTTATTTCGTTCTACCTAAGTAGGAACAGTGTTATGAATTCCTCAGTTCACTGCTGATCTTTCTCTTTCTGCCTTTTGATTGGAAATCTATATCCGTTTTGAAACGTTATTGACTTTGAAATTTATATAGACTTGACGGTCATTGTAATTTCTTCAGAAGATTTCCCCGTTTGAAGAAAGTACTTCTGATTCTTTGTAAAGATGCAGCACACAATGTGAGTTTTTATTCATTTGATGAAGAAGTTTCTGATCTGATTTAGAAATCCAACTTGCACGGGTACTTCTGTATTCGCCATCCGATACGATTCAGGAGTAGTTCTAGCTACTGATAGCGTAGTATCATATGGTAAGACTGCTAGATACAAGGTACTGCAAACATGCTTTCGATATATCTTACATTTGTCCAGGGTATCTCACGTCAATTCAAAGTTAACGAAAAGTGTGTCATCGCGTTCGGAGGTGATCATGCAGATTTTCAGTGGCTTCAAAACGTCATCGAAAGAAAGGTATCGTCATGCGTTTCAGTTCAACGAAACATTACTCCTCTAGAACCTCGAATGGGCTGGAATCGGTCAGGATTTGACTCCAAAAGCTCTTCATGGATTTCTAACAAGTTTGATATATGCAAAGTACGAAAAAAACCCTATATGAAAAGCAGAGCTCACTATTCAGGCGCTGCAAAATGAATCCTGTATGGAACACTCTCATTGTTGCCGGTATCGAAGAAGAGGAGAAGAACAATACCGAAACCGCAACTCCATTCATTGGAGTCATCACTCAACGAGTTAGTTGCAATATTTTAAGATTGCTTGAATTTACATCGTTTAGGGTGTTGCTTACCCTGTAAAGTCGGTCGCCACTGGTATCGGAGCTATGTTGCTCAACCAAGCTGTTGAAGATGAATACAGAAAGAAGGTACCCAACCCGGAAAGTATTATAGTCACAATCGCTTCCAGGGAGAAAAGTTAACCAAAGCTGAAGCTGAATCTGTTCTCCGTAAGTCTATCGAGCTGGCTATATATCACGATTGTACGGCTGATAATGAATTCGAAATTATATCGGTAGATGCCAAGGATGGTGTTTCTTTCGGAAAGAAGGTATTACAGTGTTTTTTCAGTCTCTTAATCTATAAATTCAGGAAGTTGTTATTGGCGACTGGAGCATAGCTGAGACGAACTGTCAGTACGAATGAGCATTTCTTCTACTTGTATAATT